TCCTTGAATAATGCTTAAGATATTGGCTAATTTTATTTTAACTTTTGCTGAGAACTATGGAATAAGAACTATAATTTACTTATTTCACATCCGTATTGATTGTTAATTAATGTTTAATATATAGCCCTCAAATACTAATTATTAATAATTAATAATTATTTTCTATTTAAATTTATGTAGCCAGATATTGTTTCCACGTCATGTCAAAAATATGGACTAATTAGTATTCTTTTATTTCCAAAGCGTCCGATGATGTTGATTTAATGCTATATTTTGGAGAAGTAGAAAGAAGGAAATTAACAAAAAGTCAATTTTGGCTCATTTTTGTAATCCATGTTTTCCGCATTTTCTGTCGACATTATTAAAAATTCTCATTACTGAAGTATTTAGTAGCAGATTTTGTTCGTAAATTTGCAACCAAATTTGTACAGGTTTTTAAAAAGATGTTAAAAACACATCTTGCTTGCTGATATAACAAAGAAAGTGGAAATTGAATAAGAGAAGTATTCAAGTTGTAGATAGCTCATTATCTTTTATTCATACAGATCAAGAAAATTATTTTACTCTGTGTAAGAGATAGAGAAAATAAAAATATAAGAATAGTTAATTAAAAATTTACACACAATGAGAGTGATTACATGAGAATTTCTTTGTGCTTACGGTATTTTTAAAATTTCCGGATAACTGAGATCCCAGTAGCTATACGGATAATTAAAATATATTTTTCTGTAAACCAAATACATATTTAGTGCAATGCAAAGGATGAAATTTCATATTTTTGTTCATTGTATTTCATTTTAATTAACACCAGCTATCCTGTTAAAAGATAAAGTAATATTAATTAAATAAATAAAAATTTTGTACTTTATATTCGAAGCCAATAAACAAAGCTTTATGTATGATCACACAACACATACTGGAAAAGGGGAGAGGAAGAAAATTTCGCGACATACACAAAAAAGCTAATAGAAAATAACTAACAGCACTTAAATGCACATTACAGATAACAATTTCTGTGCTTACGATAGAAAAATAATATAGATTTATCATCTAGGCTAAATGTATCAGGTATTTCTCCCGCCTTCTTAACGAGCCTTCGTGGTGTAGTGGTTTGCACGCTCAGCGCGTAATTGAGAGGTCCGCGGTTCGGTTCCCGGCAAAGGCGTTACTAATTTTTCATCTTTTCTGCTTCCAAAAATACCTAATGTCTCTACAAACGATGAGTTACAGTACAAACAATGAATAGTAGGCTATTATATAATTATTACTTATAGGCTGCATACTTTGGAACTATTGTAGGCCAATTTGCATGCCATATACATTCCTCGAAATTACTTCAGCTTCTTCAAAACATGAAATACTATATACAATATACTTTTCGTGATTTATGTAAAATGCTTAAAATATTGTTTGGATATACAAAAACATAAATAACTCAAATAATTTAACTATGGGCTTAAATTTATTTTGCCTGGAAAGGTATCTAGAGTTCTTCTCTCTAGATATCTTTATTTAAAAGTGCATGACTATATATAAGTGTCTGTATCTGTTCATATAACTGTTTATATCTAAGCACATGATTTACTAATAACCTCATTAAATTAAGTATACCATTTAACCATAAAAAAATCCTTACTTCATTGTGCAATTATTACTTCGATAACGAAACTGTTCCTCTTAAGAGTACTAAGCCAATAGCTTGTAAAAACATTCCAGAGATTCTGACTGTTAATACGCTAAGTAATTTTGTGCAAGTGCTGGTAAAAATTATCTTTTTCCTCAAGAGTCATCCCTGAGGATTTAATCCAAAATACTAATCCAAAATGCGGGCACTAGTAATTCAAGTTAAAACTAACGGATCTGAATGAAAATCTCACATAAATCCATTCCATTAGTTGGAGAACTGTCTCTGCAAATTGTCATCTACAAGAAAACGGAAAATTAAGGAAAAGTGCTCCACAGATAACACATTTTCTTGGAAGGCTGGCAACGATTATTCTGGCTTCGAAGATAATTAATCACCCATCACATCTTTGGTGAGGATTCTAAAGCAAGTTCGTATCTTCAGGGAATTTTTAAAGGAAAACCACTTAAACAATCTCATGCTTAATGTCCTGCAGCTGCAGTGCTTCAATTAAAGCTCTCCGGGTTTTGATTGTTTTAGTTCTTTTCGAGTTTTCTGATTATTTTTCGAGTTCTTGTCTTCTTTGCATACATCGGGGGGATGAGGAATGCTTTGCTAATGGACATCTCGTCCCGATGTGTCCGAATGGTGGAATAAATGGCAAGAGGCGAAAGCAGGCCTGTCAAAAGCAGTTTCTGAGAAATTGATTGATTCCTGCTGGATATGAATTAATGTTAGCTCCTTGTCCCGAGGTTTGGTTTACTCTACGCATAACATCATTAAGGAAGCGAGGCAGAAATTCTTTCATTATTAAGTGCAGCGGGATGTTCTTTTTTTTTCCTCACATCAGTAAAGCTCGGCGCTTTTTAAAACCTTCTTTTCTTTGTCTTCTGGAATTAGCGTAAAGATTCTTATCTTTTTGTAAGAAGGTAGCAATATTGAATACTTCCCTGGAGATAAAGGCCAAACATTTTCGCATGTCAGACAATTATTGTCCCTCGAATAGCTAGTATTATAATTGGAAGATCTTAAAATAAAAGCATAGATTCTTTTGACGCATGTTAGGGCTATTTAATTAATATTTATAGGGGGAATATTTGGTTGTATATTCGTACGGAAGGATGCATTTGAAGGTATATAATATGCTTTTGTTAGTAAAATACTTCATTAAAGCTTATCTTTTTGAACGAATTTGTTGTTGAGCTTTCTGAATGAATAGTAATTCCGAAATTATTTCCTAAGCACGCATTCGATCATGTCATAGTCAGATAAACGATTTGAAGTTAAATAATCTGAATTTCACCTCAAGTAGAAAGGACACATCTCAAATTGCTAAGTGGCGTCGGATAGTCAAATTGGTTAAAGAATCTAGCAGTGTGTAACAGGCACATCCCGGTTCGGATATTGGCTTTATACCGATTCTGCTCATTTCCAACTGGCATAAAAGTTCCACCGATAATTTTATTTTTAATTAAACCTGGTATGAAGAAACACAATTGGTTCATTCTTATTTCGCTCGATCTGAAAATAGCTACTTACGGCATGTATAACTCAACATTGGCTTTCTCTCTTTTTATGTAAATTAAAGCAAGTAAAATCAGGGCTGTGAATAGAATAATTCTTTTAGATGTGATTTATCTTATTAAGATACTATCTAATGGAAAAGCTTATTTTACATTGATTTAAATTTTATTTTATATTACTTTAATGCAAGTTTTAAATCGCATTTTATTGCGTTTTCAAAAGAAGTTTCATAATTTTGCACCTATAAATTATCTTCGTTTAATTTCATCTTTTTGGTGTTAGAACGTCTGTTGCGTATCCAAGGATAAGGAAACTTTTTATATTAGAAAACCAAATTATGTTAGGTGTGACCAAATAAAAATGCAGTGAAGCCACATTCAAGAGATTTAGATGCAATTTACAATGCTGATAATTCTTTTTAAATTCAACTACTATTAAAATATTTTTCTTAAGAAATGCCAGATGTGAGAATCGCGAGATAAATAATTAACAATTGATTTGATTGTCTTGGTACAACTTGATTGAACAAGGGCAGAGATTGAAGAGACATAATCCTAACGTTCTTTATGTTTAAAAACAAGGTTGTTAGAAGGTGTAACGTCTCTGAACTTCCCTGATGAAAAATTCAGACCATTTGTCTTTTTTATATTTATTTAAAAATTATATAGGCTTTCTTGATTAATTAACATTACAGCAGATTAAGTAACATTAAAGTATTATTACAGAAACAGAAAGATAGCAGCTTTCCCGCCGCGTGATGCCTCCAACTACCTCGGCATTTCTCAGACAAAAGCTACGTTTTCGTTTCTATTTACCCGATCAGTAACGGATATCCCGACAAGGGGAGTGTTCTTAATGTGTCTTTCCTTGATCACTTTCCGGCCATCGCGACGGACGCTGTTGTTCGTTCCCAAGAGAAACAGAAGGTTCTCTAACCAGTTAGAAACGGGAGAGGGCTGTAAAGATCCCATCACGCGCAAAAACTATTTGGTCAGTTGGTAAAAGTATCGACTCATTAGCAAAGGCTTCTGCCTTCGAATCTCATTGAACATTCAATTTTTGTAACTAGATGTTAGTAACGTTTCCAAAATTCTTTCAAAATATACTATTTTACTTTTAATTCTCATTTTCCATATACGAAACTGTTCATGCTAGTATTTTTACCCATGACAATGTCATTACGAATTTGTTTAAAAGTTCTTTTAAGTAAAGCTCAAAGCCAGGGCCGGCGCCAAAGCATGTGCAGCCGTACCGGGTGGCGGAATATAGTAGCGGCAAAGTTTGTAAAATTTAGGGCAGCAGATTCTAGGAACGAAGTGATTGCACCGGGCGGCGAAAAGGCCTAGCGCCGGCACCACTCTTAGCTTACCGTTAAAAGTGAATAAATCTAAATATTGTTTACGGCAAAACATCTGAAGAATATCATTAAATTAAATATTATAATTAATATCTTATATATTAATTTAAATTCAATATTAAAATTCTGTGTATTATATCAAACATTCAGTTTAAGACTGCGTTTAACAGCTGTGTGATCTTCATGTAACAAACTGAAACTTCATGTAATCTTTATGAAGTCATAGTTATTCTGAAACAGATTAAAATTGGAGACTGGAGCGCATATTAAGTTAAAAAATTGAAAAATCTACTTTTATTGCTCAGCTACGATTTTTAATTGTTCTATAGCCATAAAAGAAACTCTAAAAGGCCAGTTTACAAATAATTTTTGGAAAATTATTCATTTACTGGCTTTCCGGTAATAATTCTTGAAGTTTATTTTGTTGTAATTTTGTATAAAAATATGATTACATATTATAAATTTTATTCTAAATAATCCATAATTTCTTTTCAGAAATGCGTACGAACGAAAATTCGAGAGATCCTCAGATCTAATGCACTCACAATAGTAAGTAAATTTATTTCATTCTTACTTTCCTTTTCCTCAACTTTTAACCATATCAAATAATTTAATATTAAGCTATTTATGAAAATTTAAGGTTTACTCATCACTTCAAATCACTATTCACTGAATTCACTATTCACTTTTTTGGAAGAAAATATTCATAAAGCTAATTTCTGGATTTCGAACAAGTTTGACCATTTTTTTTTTTTTTTTTTCAGGATTTAGGAATATTTGAGGACTATTTTCCGCCTTCAGATTCATGCCAGTTAGGAGATTGTAGATCAGTAGCCAATAAGAATGTTTCACATAAAATCTTTAGTCGAAATATTTATAGTATCTTAGTATAGTACTGCTTGTACATATCAGGGTATTGAAAGAAGGTGAAGAACTAACTATCTTTAAGCCAGAGCTTTATTTACCGATAACTAACAGTCGTTCTGATGAAGTTAAAGTTTGCCTTGATGGCGTTGGATGTTCATTTTAGCTGCCTTTGCTGAAGAGGGACAATTTTCTCCGGTTCTCCTAACTTTTTCCACAAACAGGAGTGGAGATTGAGTGTGGCCAGTCACGTGGGAGAATGGTCACGTGACTTGAGGAAGCGATGAACGAGGACCCGCCTCTGGAAAGCTAATCTGATAAGGCCCATTGTCGGTTACCTTAGGTACTAGTAAAAGAACATTTAACTCATAGCTGCGCGTGTAAGGGGAATCTTGAGCAAACACCGGTGCTTATTTCTGCCTTTTTACGCCAGCTCTATTTTCTTGGATCTTTCTTTTACCTTTCCCTTTCTTTTTCTTAGTTCGTTAGTGGTCCGCTCATTTTTGTTGAACGAATGTTTTTGTGCCCATAATGATCTTTTGCAGCCTTTCATTTGTTGGTAATAAGGCGACGCTGTGTCGTGCGATGGAAGGTTAGTTTAATCCAGGCAAGCGTTTTTTCGCAATGCTACTTTTTCTTCCGGGCGTGTCTTTCGATTTGAAGAACACAGAGGGGCTGGTAGAAATAACTTCGTTAACCCCAGTCTTTCGCTGAACGCTGTAACTGTCTCACTCATGGAAGCATTTAATTCCTTGCCTTTTATTTCTTTCTTGCCAACCCTTAGATCTTAATACATTCGGGAGGCCAGATTTAACGAAGTGAAAGTTTGCCGGTGAATTAACCAGGAAGAAATGTCCAAATATCTCTCTGAATAGATTTTACTTTCTGTTCACCTCCCTCACTTCCCAGAAAAGCCGCCGATTCAAATTCTTTCGAAAGAATCAGCTTGTTATTTAGCAATGACGCGGTTGAATTCTGATGAAAATTCTCAGGGCCCTTTTGCTTCAGTAACTTAGATTAAACTCGTGTTATGCTGATACCCAAATCTAACTTGAATTTCTTAACTCTTATTTTATGAGGAATAATAAAGAGTTACTATTCTGTTGCGGATAAAATAAACTTGAGAATAATTCGACTCCCAGATTCCTTTTTTCTGCTTAATGAATTGAAATGGCGTTTGTTAAAATCTGGAAGCGTGTTATACAAGGAAAGGTAATGTTTTGAAGTAATACTGGCATGCTGCAGAGAAGAAGTTAATTAGCATTCATTTATTAAAACGCAGACACAAAACTATATTAACCAAGGACATTTTATTCGGGCAATAACAGAGCACAAATTACTGTTGCTACACAAAATTAAGTGTTTTTTTTTTTTTTTTTTTTTCTTGTAAGGCCTTGGGACACAAAACTCAAACACGAGCCTTTTACATTCGCCTCCTCTCAAAATGAAATTTAGACAGCCAGAATGGCAAAATATGTTTTAGTCCTCCAAGCTGTCATCTTCGTTGATTGGTGTATCTCATATGAAGTAAGAACGAAGATGATGCTGTCATAAACTTGTTCTGTGGTGTCGTAAACTTGATCTTGTAGCATACTGCCCCGACTAGACGAACAACAACAAATTGTCCATTGCATTTTGGAGACTTTACCAGATTTCTATCTTCAATGAATGGAACTTTTCATGGAAATCAGATCTGTGTTTGGTCTCCAAAGTTTTCATACTCATAAGCGATTTCGGCCCTGGCCAAAGGTAAAAGTTCAAGCTGATCTTCGCGTGGCGTGTCATGTATGAAGCTTAAAATGGGACGTCTCGGAGAAGGTGTGGCTCATATCCATGAGTTTAATATGGTGACATAGTCTATCTCTTTCATTTCCACTTTGGCAGCTGAAGAAGATGATTTTCATTTTTTTTAAACCATCGAAACTAGTCCTGCAAAATTTACAAACATTACGCTTGTTTAACTTCTCCAATAAGGTTTTGAATTTTTTTTTTTTTTTTTCTTATCTTTTGCTCTAGTGTAGTGTTTAATGGAATAAGGTATAATAATAGTAATCATATTGCGCGAAAATATATTGGTCAATCACTAAGTTATACGTAGCCCTTCAGTTAGCAGGACTTTGATATTAACTTACATGTGTTTTATCCATGTTAACTGAGGTACAGCCAAGCACGTTGTAACCAAATAGCAATACAGCTGCTCCTATATTTTAATAAGTTCTTGAATTATTAATCCTCTATGTGTATTTTTAGCTTGTCAATAGGGAAATTGTATATCTGAATACATATATGCTCCTTACTCAAGAAATATTTTAAGTAATCTATAATTTCAAGAATTTCTCCCTTTGAAAATATTTCAAGCTGCTTTTTCAGGAGTTATTAATCTTCATTCGATGTACTTAAAAGCGAAAGATATCTTAGGGATACGTATAACACTACAGTTATCTTTAAGCACACCTTTTTTAAATGTAGCATTATTTATTTTACCTAGCAATATGTGTTTTTTTATTTATTTGTAACTATTATCTTGCGCGAATTATCCTCATTAAAACAGTTTGTAGCTGCCAAAGCGTGTTATTTGCCCCTTAACCGTTTTTTCTTTTTTTTTTCAACTTTATGATCTACATTGTGTTTGAAAATTATTTGTTTTTACCGTACGTTCCCCCAAATAAAATAAAATTAAAAAAAATAAATATAACATTGCCTAACGGATCCCTAATTGACACCAAATAGTTGTTTATCAACTTCTTTTCGCTAATTACTCCTTAGAAGTAATGACGCAGTGAATCTCTAAAGTGGATTTCTAGTTGGGCGATCCCTAATTTCATAAAAATGTGCTGAATCATCTGAGAATAACGCTTTTTCTTTCTTCTTGTACATCGTGGATTCTCCCATTCTCTGGGAGTAAGGCTATTTATGTTATGCATCTGCCTTTTGAGCGAAAAAGCGAAGAATTTATTTTTCCCGGGTTTATTTTTGACAACGATCGAAGATAAACCTCAACAGGGAGCGAAATCTTGTCTTTTAAAATGTCGCTGGAATTCTGTTCGGTCTGAATATCATGACTTCATGGATGCAAGGGAGGAGGAGGAGGAGTATATAGAACTAAATCAATTTGATTCGAATATTATGATATTTAACATAACACATTTACTCAATACAATATGGTCGAATGTATAATACCGAATTATATACATAAATATATATTCAATCTAATTTCCAACGTGAATATTATTCTTATTAGAAACTGTGCATTAAGTTTACATTCCACTTCAGAGTGTATATACCATGTACCTTGGAAGTTTACATTTTAATTTCACATGAAATGTAAAATAATGGCTTCATGATGTATTAGGCTTATTAGGTCTTAGCTGTTTATCCTGTTATATAGCACAACGAATTCACACATCCTTACTTAATTAAACATAATGGTTATATTGCAAATTTATGTGCAATTTAGTCTTGGTTATTTTTGGAAATTATAATAGCATCAAAGGGGTTACGATTAGCAAGTGAAACAAGGCAAGTTGTAAATCTTCAGCGTGTACAAGTAATAGGAACGTAAGGGAAGGTGATCCAAATCTAAATGAAAACGCTACCATAGCTCAAAAAATATGTATTTCTAACTTTCGTTTTTGTGTGTTTATACTTATGTATATAATTATGCATCTAATTAAAGTACTTGTGTAAATATTCATTGTTATATATAGCAGTTGAAGTTATAATCCCTTAATAATTTTGAAGCAGCTTGTGAGTTACACTTTATGAGCTCTGACTTGTTTTAAGTAATTGTTATAATGAATTAGCAGCTGTTACAATAAGTAAGAGTATTAAACAATTCGTGAAATTTTGATTTACAAGTAACACTTTTCAATTGTTTTGTAATCTGATCCTCTTTATTTTACCTGTAGTTCTATTCTAACATGAAGTAAAAATAACTGACCTAAATGATAAAAAAAAATGTAAAAGGTTTTTCATAGTGTCTTCATATGCAAGTTTTTAAAAATAAACCATCTCCCCTATTCTGTGAAAATTTAAACCACGGAAGAAAAAGAAAAAAATTACTTATCCTAACCCCTAGAACTAAAAAAAGAAAAAGAAAGCTTTTTTGTCTGTCTTCACTTGTGACATCTGTTCGAGCTTAATGATGACGCTTCACGTTTATCAGTAGAAAGGAATTTTGTCTTTACAGAAGACAAGTAAATGACTAAAAAATAGTATTTTGCTGTTATTGCTATAATTCTTGCTTGGAAGTTAGTTATTTTTTTTTTAAAGGCTGACTTGCTGCCGACATTCCTCTCCCCCCTCCAGGAGTAATGTTTGCGAACAATCTGACATTTGTTTTACAGCTGCTCCTTGAATTTTATACTTATTTAGAGAGAAGAGAATTATTGTTATTTTAAACAATAATGGTATAATAATAAAGTCATGGATATTATATGTATTGTTAAAATTGCTACATCCATTTTATTTTCTCCTTATGTGTGTGATTACGTGCATGAGGTGCTTCTATAATCCTTTTGTGGCCAGTTGAAATATTCATCAAAATAATTCGAGGACCTTTTCAGTCAAATAGTAAATAATTTTCATTACGTTGAAAAAATACCTGTGATTTCTAATATTTTGTCTTAAAATTATATTTATCTTAACAGAAAAAAATTCAAGTATTTGCTTATATCATTAAACGC